AAAGGACCAGCAATGTCAATGGCTACTCTTTTCATTGGTGCGCCAACTTGATATAACTTCATTGAAGCACGACCCTTATGCTTGGGTCCACTTTTAGCACATCTACTGCAGGTCCTGCACCATTCTTCCACATCTTGCCTCATACCTATCCAGTAAAATCTCTGCCATAGGTGACTCAATGTCTTCTTAACTCCAAGATGTCCTCCTGTTAAAGTATCATGGGATTGACGCAGCACAACTTCCCGTAACTTTCTCGGTATAACCGTTTGCCAGATCGTCACTTTCCCATCTGCTGTTTCCCATATCCAGACAAGAATACCATCTTCAAGCTTCAACTGGCCACATTGTGCCCAATAGTTCTTTGTCACGGGGCTTAAGCTAGGCACCTTCTCCCAAGCAGGGTGCAAAACACTTGCTTGTAGAAAATCAATTATTGGCTTCAAATATTCGTCTTTCTCCTGTTCTGCTTTAATATCTATACTTGGTTCCACTTCACCATCATCAACTCCTTCAGTCACTTTGGATTCAGCTTGATGGAACCTGGTTTGTCCAACCTCTCTTTTAACACTTACCATAATTTGGCTTTTGTTGTTCCCAAACGTCATTTTATCAAAGTTTACTACACAATTCCTCGGTAGTAAGTAGTCCAGCCCTAATATGCATGGGTCTTCAATGTCAGCCAAGTATACTTCGTGTCTATCCTTCACACTCATGAGCTCAATAGTTACCCACACTTGTCCCCACAACCTTGCATAATCTCCTGTCAAACCACAGAGCTTCTGTATGGCTTCTGGTATCCTTTATGATCTAGCACATTGATACTCACAAGGGTTTGCTGTGATGCAGAATCTATGACAAAGTTGCACTTTTGGCCATCCAGCTTTCCTGTCACATAGACACTGTGTGTGCTTGGCATTTTACTCTTAGCTGTTGGGACTTTCTCGATGGGGGTTGGTGGGCGTCCCTCGGCACCAACCACTACTGGTTTCCCCGAGACTGACTTATTGGTAGTATTCTTCTTACACTGGCTCCTCATATGTCCTTGCTCTCCACAGTTCCAACAACCTTTCTTGGCAGCAGCCTTTCCTGCCATGGCATCTTCCCTGTGTTGAAGTTGCCAGCATTGAGCTCTCTTGTGCCCAGGTTTGTTACAGTGCCAGAAAAGTCCCTCAAACCTCTCTGAAAGCTGCTCTTTTCTGGCCTTGAATCCTGACGACTGTACCAACCTTGGTACCTCTGTGCTGGACTTAACGTAGGATTCGAATTCAAGAGCTCTGGCCATTGCATCCTGCATAGTAGAGGGGTGTGCTTGCTTCACTTGTATCTTTAGTTGTGGACTGTCCAAGGCGTCTATAAACTGATCCCTCAGCAACAGCTTGAGGATATCGGGTGACACAATTGGGTAGGCCTTGTGTGCCATACTTTCCAAATCCTGTGCCAGCTCTTGTAGGCCCTCCCCTTTAGCACGGACTCTCGTCCTAAACCTAGCCCTATATACTTCGGACTGATTTTGAGTTCCATTCCCGACTTCTAGAGCAACTACCAGTGCTCTATAGTTGTGCCTGTCGTCTGCTGACAAATGTCCGAGTATTTCCAGTGGTTGCCCCTTCAGGCTCGTTGCCAGGTACACTGCTTTCTGCTCCTCTGTCCATCCATTCATTTCTGCCAGTAGCTCAAATTATGCTCTATATGCTTCCCATGGTGCCTTCCCATCGAATTACTGTGGCTTCCTTCGTACTAGATCACCCCTATTGCTGACACTCATGTCTGGAATGTGACTTCTGCAGGACTGAAGATGTCTGCATTAGGGTTTAGCTACAGGATCTGGAAGGGCCTTCCTGTTGTCTGGGGCTGATTAGTTCCATGGTTAATATATCCTCCCTGTGTAAAAGACAGTAAATCGTCCTTTAATATATTCAATTCACTTTGAAATTTACTAAGCTTTTCCATTTGTACTTCTTGTTCCAGTTGCCACTGGTGCTGGTTTTCTTTCCACTGCTGTAGTCTCTCTTCTTGTTGATTTTCTCGTTCTTCTTGTTTCTTTTGCTGTTCTTGTATTGCTGCCATCAAATCTGCTAAGTCGTAGTTTGATTTGCCACTTCTTGTTTACTTTTTTTATTCTTCTTTTTCCCTCCCACTCTCTGACACCAATTTGTTACTATCTGCTTGTTTGTTAATTTCCCTTAGAAATTCTTTCCAAGAAACTTCAGCGCGCATGCTCCCATCGTCGCGTGACTTCCGCTGTCGTAACAGCATGTTTTATATATTTTTACTATGTTTTCAGCTGTTGCTCCACTATTTTTACCTGTTAGACTCCTTGCATAGTTCGTACGCTGCCAAACTTTGGTTTTTATATTGTGTCCAATCCATGTTAATTTTGTGTCATAAGTTAGACCTAGGAATTTAGTTGATGTTTTTGTCTGGAGAAGTGCTCCATTCATATACAGTTCTGGAGAGTCTTTGCGAAAACGACTAGTTGTGTCTTAGGTACATCGATTTTAATTCGATATTTTTGGCAGTATTCTATTATTCTATTTAATTGAGGTTGGAAATTTAATTGATGAAATACTAAATATCTTGATGACGATTTTTAGACTTGACTTATTTAGATACAAAGCAATGTTTGTTGGAATTAAAGAAGTCTTTAGTCGCATTTGATCGAAAATTTATATATTTATAGTTTCATATTCCCTGATTTTATGTGGAGAAAATTTATACTTTATTATAATTGATAAATATATATAAAATATTCTTTCATGTTCTTGTAATACAAAAATATAGTGAAGCATTTTAAATAAAATTTCCTACACGATCATTCCCAAATAACATGTTTTGTATAAGAGTGTGTGTTTAAGTACCTCAGACATTCTAAAATTTGGGCTTAAATCTTCTTTAGTAAGCACTGAAGCTACTGTAGATACGAAAATTCTGAGAATTTCAAACCAATTTAAAAATTAACCTACAGCATAGTGTTTGTCGAATCTAGGTTTAGGGACAGTACATACTAACAGAACATACAATCATGTATTTCCTGAACACCTACCCGTCTTCACACTGTATCTCATCACGTCTTCACAAAGGCCAAGTAGTTCTTCATTGCTTGCAGGTTCATCAAGAATTTCTAAGTCAAGCTTTCTCTGAAACAATATTAACGTTTCTGAATAGATTATCTTCTAATGTTTTCTGTAACTGTCAATACAAGTGGCTCGGTTTAACTTTCCAATTCTATATAAAGACCTTAGTTTATTGAATAAATAAGAATTCCCAAGACTTATATATATATATGGCAAAATAATACGTTATGTACATATCACGCTAAAATAGTAAAAACCAAACATACTAGATTCACAAACAAAAGTGTGTGTTTTTATAATACAAAATTATGATTCTAGGTTAAGCCCAAATCGAAACCAAATTTTTAGCGTTATAAGCTTCCAGATTTGGCGCTGGGCCACTGGGGGACCTTTTTTCGACTAATATTTGTTTGTAATTAAGCACAAAGCTACACAATGGACGATCTGTACTCTGCCCACCACGAGTATCGAAACCCGGTTTCTAGCGTTGTAAGTCCGTAGACATACCACTGTGCCACTGGGGGGCTTTGCGATTAATACTTATAACTGTAAAACAAAGTTAAAGCTACAAATACAGTATTTTATGAATTTAAACTTGTATGTTGAAAATTCTGTATAAACTACAGATAGAGTATTAATTGTATTGTTATGCCTTTGATATGCCAGTTGGTTATTTAAACTTAACTGATAAGTGTCTGGTAATTATAAACAAATAAAATGCCCGAAATGATGTGTCGATTGATTAATAACTTTATAGAAAACTTAAAATGCTTTTGCAATATACATTATGAATTATGATCCACCAGATTTACTGTATGTTACCTGCTTGTCTCTCTCTTGCCACTGCGCCACTGGGTGGTGGTAGTGGTGGATATAAAGTAACAGAAGACTTCGAGAGCCTATAATACTACATATTGGATTTCCATGCTCCTGGTAGGCAAAGTACAGATAGCCCATTTTGTAGCTTTTGCTGAACAACAACGAAAAAAAAAACACCTTACATCCTACATCTACATGTATAAGTCACGGGCCGGATTTATTAATAGGTGCGTCACAAAATTTTACCATTACATTACTGATAATGTGTCTGTGTATAAAAAACACACTTGCACATTCATAACTGCTAAGATAGTTTAATCTAATCGTTTTTCCAAAGATTAAACACATCTGTAGCCAGTTACCTTGGAACTTGTTTCCCTACTTGGAACACTATTTACTAACGACCTTGAAAAAGAAGAGACTTCTAGATACTATTATAAAATTAATGCATGTTCTACAGATACCACACGTAGACTTTAAGCCATTGATTCTATCACTTAGATATCGACATCATAATATCAGTGAAGACGTTGCTCTTACTCAAGAGGCCCCCAGTGGCACAGCGGTATGTCCGCGGACTTAGAACGCTAGAAACCGGGTTTCGATACCCGTGGTGGGCAGAGCACAGATAGCCCTTGTGTAGCTTTGTGCATAATTACAAACAAACTTACTCACGAAACAAATAACAAAAAAGCTTGTTACTTATCCGTATTCAATTTGATCTGCGATTGTGATTATTAAATTAGTTGCGGAAAAACTAGAAGTGAAAATGTGAAAATAACCTACCCATCTCGACTTTACAAAGTGGCTGTAATTATGAAAAATAAAGCACTGATTACCATAATTCTGCTAGTTAGTTTTAAATGGTCTGGTTGTTCTTAAGCGCAAAGCTTCATAATGGGCTATTAATGCTTTGCCCACCACGGTCATCGAAGCCCGATTTTTAGCATCGTAAGACTTGTCAATGAGCCACTGCGAGGTAAAGTTTTAAATGAAAGTAGTGTTTATGAAACAAAAAAAAATGTTATAATCAAGGCCGCAAGAACTAAGGGTCCTCTGCCCCTGATGCGGAGGGCAAGATTTATTTGATCTAGTGAAGCGAGAAAATGTGCACCACAGACGCACCCATTACGGCTGGGGTCCAGGACTTGCATTAGGGCCATGGAAGCTATTGGGTTCCGGATTAAATTTTAAGCATTCTCCTGCATTTCCTGGGAGTAATTTTACCAATTCTGGTGCTTTTTTACTGGGACAGATTGAAAAGAGGGGGCCAGCTTCCCCACCCAACCACTTCCTATGCCACTGTGGGTAGTTTTAATGGAATTCAGTTTTACTTCACAATAGCCTCTCGACGTATAGCAAACCCCCCTAACATCATCTTTCAGGAAATCGGTTCATCCGAAAATACCTTTTTTTTTTTCAGCACCTCCATTATAAAAATTATTTCAACGTCAATGGCTATATAAAACATTCCTAATTCTTCCTTGCGTAAATTTTAACTAAATTTTGGATAGTGATAGTTGCTCTAGGTAAATCTTATGTTGCCGGTTCAACTAAGTAACACGAAATCTAGTCACTCTGAAAAATCATTTCTCTCTTGTTTTTTTCTTGAAATCGATATTTTTTAGTAAGCAAAAATTCTCTTTGAACTTGTTGACTGAATTTTGTGAAACCTGTTCTGAAGAGTTTTTAAGTTATGACTACTTCATATATATCTATATATATTTGTATGTTATAAACTTCCCGTTGCGGTTACCATGTATATTGATAGGTATAGTGTGGTTTGATCCCTTATTACAGGTTCTTTGTGACTTACATCACAAGGGAACTGACACTTTTTTTCAACCATTTGACTCAGCCATCACTTAGTTGTAATAACATTCTGAAAGTAGCTGTAATTTATTGCCAATATGACTATCAAACCTAACAAGGCTCGATTACATTATTAAGTTTACGATGTACATAAAACTTTGTTTTTGTAAGTTTTTTAGCTTACCAACCCTAGTATGAAATGCGATGTATCCAACAAGTGTTTAATTAAATCATACTTTTACATCACCACTTTAAATTAATTTATTTGTATTCAAGGTCAAAGCCAATTAAGTTTAGATATTGATATTACAGCTTAATACTTTCTACTTCTAATATTTTTAGGTTCTAGACATGGCCTCAAACTTACGTTTTACAATCTTTAAAGAAAAGAACAATCAAACTCACCTTTAAATCTTCTGGATCAACAAATTCAGTCACTTTAGAATGATTCCGAAGGTCTTTGGGATTTCCCAAAATTCCAGAGCTCATTACTCTTTTCACAACTCTCTCCAGAAACTCTATGTCTTCCATTTAGTTGAGCAGGCCTTGTGAATTCGTTTCTGTCATAAGAAATGAGTAAACATATGAGATATAATTTTTGTTTAAGGATTTCGCGCAAAGCTACACAATCCGACCATCTGTTGGGTTCGCTTTTCTGATCAAATAGTGGGGTTTGACCTCATTTTTCCAACGGGCCGCGAACACCAAACCTTCGGATTCACAGCCCGAACACGCTAACCACTAGGCATATGTGTTATAAATCAAGCTGCTTGTCGGTCCATGACTGTTGGTTTAGAAGGCCACTAATAAAATTAGTCGCACATACAATAATGTGAACAAAATACCGTCAATATTATAACTTCACCAACTATTACCAGCATTTCTGATAATCAAGGTGAGAAAATATTCAAATTAGCATCTTTTTTTTTTTGAAACGTAAACAAAATGTTGACTATTTTACAGAATAATAACTTTATCTGCTTGTTAAAGTGCTTTAAATACGAAATAAATTGAACATTTTTACCAAGGGTATAAGTTGCATTTCTACATTTTAATAACACAGGTGCAGATAATTTCCAACGAATATTAAAGTTTGTTTTTTTCCACTTAATTGTAAATTAAGTACAAGGTAAAACTTCTTTATAAGTATATACACATGTGTGTATATTTTGTAAGTTATTTATCACCAAAAACACTAAATCTAATATTTAAACTTAAATTTTTTCCAGCTGTTACTAGATTTCAACAAAACCATGTCGCTAGATCGATATTTTTCACAAACTCAGTTACATGAAGAGAATGAGCCTTCTTCAAGATTAATTTTTCACGTTTGAAATAAACATACACACTTGAAACACCACGTGTATTTCTAAACTTCTTTAACACATTGTTTCTATAAATCTATTACTTTGTTCTTATTTACCTAAACTGAAAATAATTATACATTTTCTCTCATTTAACTTCCCCATTGAAACAGCTACAACGATATTTTTGTATACATAAAGCATCGATATTCTATTGAAGGCTTAGGACTAACTACAGCATTGTGTTTATACGTGCCTTATTTTTACCGAATTTTAATTATTTAATGCAGTAAAAACTCCAACAAAACTAAAAGATAATTGTAATGGTGAAAGGTATTCTAAGTAGAAAGCATACTCGAAAGCCTTTTGGTGCTGATATATATAGATTATCGATCTATCTGGAGTGGGTCCAAGCTTGTAAGTAAAAGCAGTAATAGTGTAGCGGAGTAATCTAGAAAGAACACTACATCTAATCCTTATCAACTGCACAGAAACTGACGTGTTCATCCTCTTAAAAACATACATCAAGGAATTTCTTAACGCTCTGACGTCGATCGATGTTTGGCTGGGAACGAAAACAATCTTTTACGAATTAAGTGAAACACTCGAGTTCGTAAATTTTAACATTATACGTTATAGAATAAGTAAATAAAAATAAACAGGTGACCATTTCTTTGTTCTTTTTATTTACCATGATCACGTAACATTTCTTTATGGGTCATCTATCAAATGATGTATCTTAACGGTGACTCAGCTGTAAGTTTATAGGTTTATCATGCTAAAAATCGGGTTTCGATACTCGTGGTGTAGCGTTGCGCTTAACAACAACAAACTAATTTTGAATGTTAACAAGTAATGAAGAATCGTTTAGAATTTATTCTTAACATCATTATTCTCGTCATTAATTAGAGCAAAAATAAAAAATTCATTTTCCTCTTGTAGATTACAAACTTAAGAACCAGATAATTATCTCTTACATAACCTAATTCTTAACTTCTCTGTGTTTTAAATTGTAAAATTGGTGTAAGAGTAAAAAATAATTTAAAAAAAGTATTTTTTTTTCTCTTTTTCTTAATGTCATACATTGTCAAAATGTAACAAAAAAGCCTCGTTACTGAAAATCAAACTATCTCAAAGTTAACACAGTAAAGTGTGTTTTAGGTTTTTGCTTCAGGTGACATGCTATTTCATTATTACGTGTTACAGTTATACCAATATAAATTGTATATCTAACCTGATAGGATATGTAAGTTGTCAAAACGATATGTAAATCCAAATAAGTATGATATTAGTACAGTTGTACTTGTAAGAGTTTATATTTTGGGTAAAGCACATTTAAACTTAACATCAACCGTTGTGTAACTATATTCTATTTTGGCGACTGTCTGATTCACAGAAAATAGTGGGTAAAAAACGCCCATAAAAGCCGCAAAATTAAAAATTGGAAACTTGTATGTACCCCGCATGGACCTGATGAACCTCCATACCAATTTTGGTGAAGATCCATCCACACACTGCAAAGTAGTTACATGGACGGACAACAAACAGTACGATTATATGTATATAGATTACAGCCGTGTAAATAATATTTATGATCAGTAAGTAAACCAAAAACGAAACCATTCGTGTAACTGACTACCTTTTCAGTATTTAGAAAACACACACATATGTTAACATATAGATATGTAAGGGATTAAATATAACTATTTGCGTACTTGGAAAGCAAAAACAGGGATGATTTTTTTTGTGTTTTTTTTTTAATTTCGCGCAAAGCTACACGAAGGCTATCTGCACTAGCCGTCCTTAATTTAGCAGTGTAACGCTAGAGGAAGGCAGCTAGTCATCATCACCCACCGCCAACTCTTGGGCTACTCTTTTTACCAA